ATCTCATTGTGGTTTTGGGTTTTTTAATCTCATTGTGGTTTTGATTTGCATTTTTCTAATGACTAATGATGTTGAATATCTTTTTGTGTGTTTTTAGCCATTTGTATATCTTCTTTGGAGAAATGTCTAGTCAAATCCTCTGCCCATTTTTGGGGGGAGAGTAACTAAGTTTATTTATTTTTAATGAAGTTACTGGGGATTGAACCTAGCACCTCGTGCATGCTAGGCACGTACTCTACCACTGAACTATACCCTCCCCCACCTCTGCCCATTTTTTATTTGGGTTGCTTGTCTTTCTGTTGTTTAATTTTAGGAGTTCACTATATATATTCTGGATGTTAAAGCCTTGTCATATATATACACTCTGCACATATTTTCTCCCATTCTGTCAGTTGTCTTTTCACTTTCTTGAGAATGTCCTTCAATGTACAAAAGTGTTTAATTTCGATGAAGTTCTACTTGCCTACTTTTTTCTTCTGTTGCTTGTGCTTTTGGTGTCACATCTAGAATCTGTTGTCAATTTCAAGGTCATAAAGATTTACCTCTATGCTTTCTTCTAAGGGTTTTATGGTTTGGGCTCTTATATTTGGGTCATTGATCCATTTTGAGTTCATTTTTTTATATAGGGTAAGGTAGGCATCCAACTTGACTTTTTTTAACACGTGGAAATCCAGTTGTCTCAGTGCCATTTGTTGAAGAGAGTATTCTTTCCCCACTGAATGGACTTGGCTCTTATGAAAAATCAACTGGCCATAGATGTTTGGTTTTGTTTGTGGACTCTCAGTTATATCCAAGTGGTCTTTCTGTCTGTCCTTACGCCAGTATCATACATTTTGATTACATTATTTTTGCACTAAGTTTTGAAATCCAGAAGTCCGAGTCCTCCAACTTTGTTCTTTTTCAAGACTGTTTGGCTTTGGGGCATCCTTTACAATTCCATACGAATATGAGAATCAGCTTTTACATTCCTGCAAAAAAGGCTATTGGAATTTTGATAGGATTTGCACTGAATCTATAGATCACTTTGGGCAGTGTTGACATCTTAACAATATTGTCTTCCTACCCATGAATATTGCCTTTCCATTTATTTAGGTCTTCTTTCATTTCTTTCAGCAATGTTTTGTACTTTTCAGTATGTAAATCTTTCACCTCCTTATTTAAATTCATTCCTGGGCATTTTATTCTTTTAGATGCCAGTGTAAATGGAACTGCTTTCTTAATCTCCTTCTTGGATTGTTTGTCATAGGTATGTATACATACAAATAATTTTTGCCTGTTGATTTTATGCCCTGCTACTTTGTTTATTAGCCCTAGCTGCTTTCTTGCAGATTCTTTGTATGTGTTGTTATCTGTCATCTATGAATAGAGATAGTTTTACTTCTTCCTTTCCAGTTCGGACTCTATTTTTCTTATGAAATTGCCCTGGCTAGAGCTACTGGTACAATACTGAATAGCAGTTGTGAGAGTGGGCTTCCTTGTCTTGTTTCTGATCTTAGGGGGAAAGCTTTCAGTGATTTACTGTTGAGTACATTAGCTGAGGATTTTTTTGGTAGATGCCCTTTGTCATGTGGAGGAAGTTCCTTTCTATTCCTAGTTTTCTGACTGTCTTTATGGTGAAAAGATGTTGGGGTTTTGTCAACTGCCTTTTCTACATCAATCGAGATGATCATATGTTTTCCCCCTTCATTCTAGTAATGTGGCATATGATACAGATTGATTTTCTTATGTTGAAAAGACATAGCCTCGCATTCCTGGGATCTTGCTTTTTTGATTTACTCTCTCATGTTGATGGAACACATCCTCCAGTGGCTTCCTGAGGAAAGGAGCACAGAAGGTAAAAGTTTGAAAGCTTGTATGTTCAAAAACGTTCTGCCTTCATATTTGATTGACGGTGTGGCTGGGTACGGAATTCTAGGGTAGAGACAACTTTCCTTTGGAATTGTAGAGACACTCCTCCTTTCTCTTGCTTCCAGCATAGCTATTGAGAAGGTCAATGCTACTGTGGTTCATGTTCCTTTGGATGTGACCTGTTTTATCCTCTCTGGAAGCTTTCAGATCTTTTCTTTGTTCTCATTTTTCTGACATCTCACAATAATGTAGGTTGGTGTCGTTCCTTTTATATCCATTGTGCTGGGCATTCAGAGGGAACTTTTGATTTGTCCCTCAAGCCTGAAATTTCCTCTTTTTTTTAAGTTTGTTTTCATTTTATATAATTTGTTTTCTCTGTTCTCTTTTGTTGGGATTCTTATTAGCTGTATATTGGACTTCCAGTTAGTCCCATAATTTTTTTTATTCTTTCCCATTTTCATCTCTTTTTTTATTCTACTTTCCAGGCAATATCAACTTTATCTTTCAATTCTTATGTTGAATGATTTTATCTCTGCCATCACAATTTAAATTTCCAAAAGTCCTTACTTGTCTCTCAATGTCTCTTTTCCTTTTACAGCAGCCATGGCCAGTAGAGGATTAGCTTCCAACAAGTGGAAGGATCAATTCTTTCACTGTGATAGGTGGCGAAGAAGGAAGGATAGATGTAGGTAGGGGAGACTGTCAGGTGAGGTGGCAGGAAGGAGGGGTGTTCCTTCTTATGACTTCCATTTGCTCTGTGACATAGATGGTGAGGACAACTATTGAGACAACAGGGAAGGTAATAAGGTAGGAGGAGGTTTGAGGAGCACTGAAAAGAGAAGTCAAAGGTAATTCCCTACCCCCTACCCCAAAACTCCAGGGGCAGCCCTAAGGGTTTACCCTGAAACCAGAGACCATTAGTCAACCATGGCACCAAACTGCTCACTCAGGTAAGTTCTTCGTCAAGGTGTAGAGAAGATGGGCTCTTGAACAGCACTATGGTTGGTATTCTGGAAGAGAGCAGGGCAAAGGAATTAAGGATGTTAACAGCAAGGGGCTGATGTGATTGAACATTTCTGCCACCTTCCCATCTGCTCACACCATCTCTGGGAAACTTAACAAATTCCACCTATTCAGTGTGACATTTCCCCACCTGAAAATTTGAGGTTATTTTAAAAACCAGAGTCTTCACTGAATTTTCTGCCCTTGACCATTTATAAATTGTCAAGGATCAGGCTGCTTTCATGCTGTTCTTAGGGGGTTCTGTTGTTTATATTTCTCTAGGTTGACAAATATACCCATTTATTTTTATCCTCTATTTCTTGTCTTTAAAATAGAATAAAAATCAAATTCTTTAGGATCCCTAACAGCAAAGAACATGCTTTATTCTCTTCAGTAATGACACTGATATTCATTCTGTGTTCTTCTGGATGTTTTATCACCAAAACAGAAACAGACTCAAAACAGAAACAGACTTAATTCTTCAAGTTTATTTATGTTGTTTCATTACACTGACAAAATACACCACATTTTGTTTTCTCCTGCAAGAGTCAAGAGTCACTTTATCTTAAACCAGAAGATTCTCTTAAAGAACACGCACATGTGTGTGCACACACACACTCACGAGGCAAGTACAAAAAACTCCACCAAAGTGCATATGAATGAAAGTGCAAACAGGCTTCATTTTTGAACTCTGAGATCATTCTCTCTGCTCCAGAAATTAAACAGAATGCTTCTTACTGCCCTCGGGCGGAACAGGGCAGGGGATGGGAGAGGCTTGCCAGGGGCCAAAGTGTAGGCAGTTCCTGCTGCTGGAGAGCAGGGTGGAGGGCACAGGGCAGTGGTGCCCACTCCCTCCCTTCACTGCGCTCCCAGGTCAAGGTGCGATGATCTCACTTTGGGAAGGAATGGGGGTGAAGGGGTAGTGGGGTGGTCAGCAGGCAGAGTTCTTTCTCCATTTTTTATGATTTGGTTTCTTTCCAGAGTTGACAGTGATACAGAAAGTGCTGAGGCTTCAGAGTTCGGAGGCCTGGGGGCTCTTTTCTTCAAGGCCCCTGGTCCATCCTGCCTTTTCCATAGACAAGCATTGGGATGGAGGTGGGCAGACCCACGTGGCAAAGTCACCCCAGCCGCTCTCCTTAGAAGAGGTGAGGCCCCACAGCACGGCTGGGCGAACTTGCTGTCTTCTCTCCACGACGCAGTCAAAGAGCATCCCTCCTCAGTTTCACAGACAAGCACCCAAGGCCACGGAGCTGCTGGGTTTCACCACCACCCAAGCAACCAAGATAGAGAGGCTCAGACTTGCTCCTCCTTACTCTTGGCCAAAGGACCCCCCACCCACCCCCGCCGTGCAGTCTCTGTAAACCCAACCCCCGCGAGGCAGGGCCTGGCCAGCCCTCCCAGGACAGCGTTGCCTCTAAGGACCGTCTGAAGCCCTGCGGCAGTTCAGCTGGGGGCTGAGTGGCTGCCCCGGCCTCTGTGAGAGAGGGTCCCCTCCTGGGCTGGGGCAGGAACTTAATAGAACTTTGGGTTTCCCACTTCTGCAGGAAAGGTAAAGCTTCATATTTTAACAAGAATAGCCCTTGACATTTTCCCCACCCCGAGCCTCACATCTGCACCCGACAAACAC